TTAGGTGAAATATCCCTTAAACACTCAGAAGAGAGCAGTTGGGCATCTTAAAGGATATTTTACCTAAAAATGAAAATTGATCAATTACTCACCCTCATGTCGTTCCAAACCCATAAGTCTTTTGTTCATCTTTAAAAAACAAATTAAGATATTTTCGAAACCTGAGATTTCTGTCCCTCCAACTGAGGTCATTCCACCAAAACATTGACGCCTCAAAAAGTTCATAAAGACATCAAAGTAATCCATATCAATCGAGCGGTTTAATCCAAGTCTTCTGTAGAGACACAATCGTTTTATTCGGTATGATGAAAAGATTTATTTTAGCCTTTTATTCATAAATAAACAATGATCAGTGTGCATACATATAGCACATTAAATATGGTACACATGGAAGCTGAACCACTCTTGCTTGATGCGCAAGAACAAACCCTTTCAGTGTTTTCATTTTTGGGTGAACTAACCCTTTGAGAAGTACATAGACACAGACAAACCTTCTATCCCCAAATGTCATATTTAACACATACAAGTGACATTATTTCCGCTAACCTTAAAATAAAATCCATTCATTCAAAACTCTAATATCATCGTCTGGGGCCTGGGGTTTGGACTGTCGCACTCTGAAAATAAATAAGGTCTACGCTTCTCACGTGACGTCTATTTTGATATTCACTTAAGAATGCATGCCAGACGACGCACCCCGAAATATGCAATATGCCCTGGTAATGTATTCATTTTCGAGCTTCAGTAACCCCGAGTTAAGAATAATTTCAAACCTGAGAGAAGAGGAAGAGAGGGCTTGTGACCCAAGCCAGTCTAATGATAGCCACACTGGAAAAAGCTAAAATACTGACACTCCATTATTGTCCTATAGAGGAAGCTGAGGATTAGAACACCAAAGAATTTCAATAAAAGAAGTGTCTGTTGTGGGGCCGAGGGTCCTGGGGGGCTGCAGAGCTTTAGGCTTTGTCCTGTAGGGTGATTGAGAGCGAGATGAGGGGAGTGGAGAAGCATTGTGCAGGGATGGAGACTTTCTAAAGGTGGTTATTAGGAGAGAAATGGCGTGGGGGTGGCTGTTGACTCTTCATCTTGTGTGAGCAAAGTATCTGGCATATAACTCTCTCTCTCTCGCGCGGCTTTCGCTTTACGACGGCCATGAATACTCTCGGCGGGCTCGCCCAGACCTGCGCGAAGGCTTATTGTCTGGCTTAAGTGCGGTTTAATTAAGCAAGCTCTGTGTCCTGAGAGAAGAGAGGTGCTTTAAAGCGTTCAAGTCCTGTGGAGATGCCGGGGATGATGCGTAGTATCAGGGCTATTGAAAGGGGAAAGTGTTTGCTGCTCTAATGAAAAAGGTTTGTTTGGTGGGGATGAGCGGGGAGGGGTGGAGGAGTGTATGGGCTTTGTCCCCAGCTTACAAAGTAGGGACAAAAGCAGTGATATTATACAAATGCACCCATTTCCAGGACATGATGCAGAGACGGGGGCCCGGAGACGGGCCGGACTGCTCCATCTCAGCCCTGCTGGCACCTTACAAAATGATTTTTCCCCCCACCACAAAGATACGCTTTCTAGTTAAATCCCGAGAGCAGGGGCTTCTGGGTACCGCAAATTTGGGGCTTGCGGACTTAAGCGGATTTTCTCTGCAACTGTAAGAACAAGCTAATTCCTCAGACCTCCTTTATCTCTAACATGGTAATAACAAACAATGAAATTCTGAAGAGAAAGGGGCAAAGGAAGAGGAGGGAGGAGAGATGCAGACACAAAAGAAGGAGAGATGGAGGGAATGAAAGAGAGGAGAGACATGTGTGAGGAGAGTGTGGGCTTGGGCGTGTTAAGAAACTTTCTCGCTCTAGTGTTATGTGTGAACGCTCTGCTAATCCAGGTTTTATTGCTTGCCTGTGTCTGGCCACACTGTCCGGATTGAGTATGTGTGTGTGAGGGACAGTGGGGGTCTACACATGTCCCTCTTTGAGGAAAGCCTGAGAAAGAGCCGGACCTGGTTGCGGCCGTTTTCGGGTCGCCTTAGAAACCCGCACCACAGGGGGCCTCTGTGTATGTCTCTGCATTGCCTGCGCATGCTGCTAGCAAACACATACGGATTAAAGCTAACGTTAAAGGTGCTATCGCATTAGCGAAGTTTCAGTGAAAGTTTGCAGGCAAAACAGGCACATTATCTGTTGTCAATAGTCTAGCAATGTATGAAGAAGAACTAACCGAGAAGTCACTTTTAAATCAAGCATCTTCACTTTTGTTGACGTGGCAAAACTGCGTGGCCAACTTGAACCGGTTGCGAAATCTGTGTGGGGAAGTCTTTTGCCCTCACGTGAAATTCCCAATCGTATGGATTCCTAGTGAAGTTAATAGATTACACCAACTAAATTTGCAGAACAACGTTAAAAGTTACCACACCTTATGTTTTAATTCACCAGTCGACTTGTGTTGTTTGCAATAGCTTGAATTATCTTCCGTTCACTCACAGGAAGCCAAAAGGGTGTCTTTCCCAGATTATAGGGGCTACTTTGTTGGTGTGTAGGGTGATGTATTAGCCTAGCCCTAATAAAAAGCAGGAGTGTCCACAAACATGACTTAATGAGGGAGGATGAGAGACTCCTGACCCAGAGGTCAAAGCTCCGGGCGGGTCTCTTTATTCCCATTGATCTGCTAGTGAACCACTTCATTTCCATGCTTTAGGGCCCACTTCAGTAAATTCATTAAGTGCGATTGATACGAGAATCAAAACTTCCTCTGAAGCACAATGGCTATGCTAGGAGGGAATGGTCTTGTTTGTGCTGTAGCTATGTCAAGCATCTCTGGCTTTTGTCCTGGCTTCACACCGTTGTGGTGCATGCTGGGGTTCGAGTCCTTGAGATTCTAATCGTCAGCTCATTTCCAGTCGGTCCGTTGTGTCGTGGCCTTACAGCCTTGACCTGGGAAATGTGGTTTCACTGTTGTTGAGATGCCGACCGCAGACCATTCCTCGCCTCCACTCATAAATTACGCTCCGATCAGGTTTTCCCAGCCAATCCTGGTGAGCAGATCCGTGTCACTCTTCAAGAATGCAGAATCAAACCGCTGATCTAGGCACAATGCAGCTGATGGAAAGCAGATCTTTATTCTCGATGTCGGGAACACAACACATGCTACACATCGATGTAACCTGCAGTCTAACTAACAGATTCATATTTAATCAGATCAGGGATGCAGCATCAGGTTAGAAACACTAAAATGCAGTTTATGATAAACATTTAAGATGTCAGAATGAACTGTCATGCCTCGAAGTGCAGTTGCAGCACAACTCTGACCCTTCTGATGTGGGAGAATAAAGGCAATGGAAATATGACCTCCAGACCGCGGTCAGAGCTGTCAGTGTCTCTCTTCAGCTCCTGCGGTGGCTGCGCACAGACCATGTCCCTGCTGTGAGTGAGATAGATAGATGCACTAGCAGATAAACAGAAACACAGGCTTCAGTCCTTGATCGCTGGATTGGAGGAGAGAGTTTATCCGACCACAGCCAAGCAAGAGAATACTGGACAATAACACAAATTAAACATTCCTGGAAAAGAGGTGGGCACTTATGTGAAAACTTTTTTTTATATATGAACTGGAGTTTGAAGTGAATTGGCCACAACCTACAGGAAACTGAATTGGAATTTGAATCGGAATGACAGGAAAAGGAATTTGCTGAATTGCAATTCAAAGAAATTCAACAAAGGAAATTAAGTGTTCTTCCACCAAAAGTTAATCTATTAAATATGATGAAATATATAAACAAACTCCACATTTCTAGGTGACATTTAATCTATCTATCTATCTATCTATCTATCTATCTATCTATCTATCTTCATCTCTGTAAATCCTATAGACCTTCAAACTTTAAAGCTTTTAAAACTTTTTTCAAAACTTCCAAATAATCTATTTTCAAGGCAACATTCATAGTTTTTCTTTGCTATTCTTTTCTAGTTAACAATTACAGTCATATTAATTTCTCTGAATGTGCTTAATTCTACTTTGTCACATTTGCATTGCAATTATTCAATTCAAATTTTGTCGTCTGACAAAATATATGATTTACTCTCTTAATGCATTTCTAGGTTGTTCTGAGTGGAAAAGCACACATGCTTACTGATATAAAACTCATTTGAATGCAATTTTTCCCAGGTCTCCGGTATTTATACCTGAAACCATGGTCAGTTCACCTCTGTCCTAGCGTTTTGGGTCAGTCTGAGACAGAGGCTATATTAGAATGCATTGTCATCTTTTAGTGCTGTGTCTCTTTCTCAGCGCCGTCTGCCCTCATCCTATCCGAATGACAATAGTGTTTATGTAAAATGTGCTGCCTTTGGGCCACTGGGGCAGAGAACACTGCATGCCTGGCCCTGCCACACTACCTTTTACAGCTTTTTATTGTGTTCCCTTTGTGCCCCGTTGTCACAAGGGGAGGACGCGGCCATCAAAATTCTCCAAGACAAAATTCTTCACAACGTGTGAATGCATGTGCACGCACACGTATCCGGAACAATTAGTTCGGGGCATGACATACTTAAATATGGAGACGACGTTCCCCGATGCCGTCAGCAGGCCCGACTCTGACACAGCTGGTTTTCCTTGAAGTTAATACAGACAATATAGACCTTAATAAGACAAATCCACCTCTCTGAAACTCAGTGCTGACACCCTTTCATTCTTATTCCCTCCCAGCCTCCTCTCTCTCTCTTTCACTCCCTCTGTTTCTTTCTTTCTTTGCTACATTACCAGGGGGTGGTGCATGATTGACAGATGGGCAGGAATAATAATTTTTTTTTTTTTTGCGTAACCTAAGGCCATGCTCTGTGATTGGCTTGCCAGCTGACATCTCCAAACCTCGCTTGTTGTTTTTTTTCCCCTCTCTCTCTCACTCTCTCTCTCTAATATTGGCCCTGATGATCCTAAGGGGAAAAAAAGTGGGGAGAGAAAAAGATATGTACCTTAGGGAAGAACCTCAGTGAGAGGGAGGGAATCAGAGGACGAGTAGGAGCGTGTGTGCGAGTGTGTGAAAGAGACACTTACTCTCCTAACTACTGGGACACACACACTTTCCTCACCCAACTCAAAGAAGCAGCAAACCCTGGAGATTTTTTTGCCTTCATTTAAACCCCAAAATTGCCATCCATCTTTTCCTTAAGACTTGCCGGCTGGAACTTGATTTTCAGCCCCTCTTTAGGAATTCTATGTACTGATCAATAGACAATTTCCATCCACACAAGACATACCTCATGGATTTGTACCTGGTTGGATATCTCATGTGCATGTGGTTGTCCAGCTCTCGGGTGCTTGGAGGCTATCCCATCTGGTGGTGAGTAGCAACAATCCCCACTTTCTGCATCACTTTCTCCAGTAGCACTGGGAGAATGGTGGTCAGTGATAATTTTTTAGAGGGCAGTAAATACAGAACACTTTCAGTTGACTGCGTGGAAAAAAGCTTCTCGACTCAGTCCAAAGAATCTTAACCTCAGCCACTGGAGGGACGGAAAAGGCTAGCCTGTCTTTTTCCTCGCTGCCGTGTTTCGCCCGGCTCCATTTATTTTGAATGTTCGAACGAGGCTGTTTTTGAAGGTTGGAGTGTTGTGAAATAGATGCAGTGTGTATGTCAGAGATAAGGTTAGGTTAAGGTGTCAGCCAGCAGGCTGCTGGATGGGGTATATTGTTGTCTTCGCTAATAGCCTCAGCACTCCAGCCGTGTTAGGAGTGTTAATTGGGGCATTAGTGTGGATGTCCCTTGGCTTGGGTCTCAATAAATTCATTGAGGTTTAACCCTAAGTATCATTACACTTTAAACCTGAAGCTGCTTTGAACATTTATTTTTCTCTTAAGTTGTTGTGTTGTGTATTACAATCGTATCTGTGATTTAAAAAACAATGATTAACAACATTAATCTGAAATTGGCTGACTTTCCAAATAAGAGCTCACTTTCCAGCATAATTCATACAAAGTATACTGAACTGGGCTGCATAAAGATATCGCACACGCTTGTACTTTTCAGATTATTAATTTGAAATCAAAATCGTTCAAATCATTATGACATAAAAAATTGAGACTAAAGTAATTTCCTTTTAATTACCTATTATAACAAAAATTCTTCTTTCATTTGTTTCGCCATTTAAATATAGAAACAAATGAAATAATTAGCTACTTTAATCCTGCAATATTAATGAAATATATTAAAATAATGAATATAATACTGTATTTTACAGAAACAAATAAATGACATATCATTGTATATATTTATAACAGAATATTTTTTATTTTAATATATATATATATATATTTTTTTTTCTCTCCATTTGTTCAAATTATGTTATTCCGATTTGACAGGTTAGTACTGTTAAAGCACTTATGTTCAGTAGATTTCGCTACATTCTGCAGAGATCATATTTACCTCCGAATAGTGCTGATATGTCATAGTTCCACTAATTACCCCATCCTCAAAATGCCACTGACCTCACAAGGTTCTCTTGTAACATGAGGCTTTTTGCAAAAATATTTGTGTAGGCGTACACAAAAGCCCCCCTGGCTCATGATACAATACTTGTCAGAACTAATGTGCTTTAGTAGTCCCAGTTAGCATGTGGTCCCCGCTGCACTCTAGTTCCAAACCACCAGCATCTTCTGGTTTCGTTTATGAAGCGAGAGTTGCCAAACATGCAGTCGCACTCATAGACTTACACACACACAAAGGCCATGGGGCTGAAGCATTATTATGTGCGTGGCTTTACTCATATGTTGGCGTTTAGTGCCACCAGAAGAAACTGACAAAGAGCAAAGGAGTCTCGAGTCATTGACCCGCAGCTGTTTTCTTTGACGACGGTGTAATATTTACCCACTGATAATGCCTAACCTCTTTGATTTGGATAAATTGATAGTGGAGGGGAGAGAAAATGAGAGCGTGAGAAAGAAAGCGATACGAAAACGTACATGGCTGCAGGTAAATGGGTAGATGCGTCATCATTTCTTGTCTTCTACCTGAATGCCATCAGTGAACCTGCGGTCCTAAAAAAGAACAGGAATAGATTAATAGAAAAGAATATATGTAGCAGGTGAAATATCTCTACTGAGTGATTTAAATAAACAAAAACTTTCAAAACTAGTGATCCTATGTCACAAAATGTAATAGATGATATTTTTAAAATGCCCATTTAATGAATTTTTGTGATAAAATAAATCTTGCTTTCATGTCTACATTCAGAATCTGTCTTTTGATCTCAAATTCATGATTTTGACACAGGCATTTATTCCTAACAAATTAGTTTTAGGAAAAAATATATAATATAACAATTAAAATAATAATCAATAAAATAACTTTTAGTATAATAATGTGACTGAATCAACTTGACTTATATTAAAAAATAAAAAAGGCTATAGTAGAAACAGAAAAACATAATATAAATAGTAATAATGGTGTGTTTTCAGTTCTTTTAAAGGTGTCAATCAAATGTATTTGTGTTTTATAGTGAGATTTTAATCCACACTGGTAGATCCTATCCTTTTAATCCCTTCACATCTGAATGGACTTTAAATCTATGACGAACAGTGTTGCAATAATCAGGCCAATTTCTTCCCTAATCTGTTTCAACAGTTTACCAGGCCGCTGATATCTGACTTTATCCTCTCAAGATGAACTAATTAAGCTCAGTCTTAAGCAGGGAGAGCTATTGAAAGCGATCAGCCTGTCTAGCTTTGTTCAATTTCACATGCATTACAGATGACGAGCAAGCTGAGACACAATCAGCAGTCACTCCGAATACCAGACAGAAAGGAACAAGGTATTTGTGGCTTCTTCCCACAACAGCACCGCAAAGCCGCCATCCGTTCGGATCCAGCTGGCTGTTTCCACCGCCGATCATCTGTTATCTATCAGAACCTCAGCTCGGTTACAACACAACAGCTCAGAAGAGGCCTGACCTCAGATGATCAAGTCACGGCTTGACCTGGAAACACTTCAGTAGCTCTTATTATCTGAAGTACCCGTCAAAACAGTGGAAATGAACCACTCAAAACCATATACACTTTTAAATATTAGAGAGGTTAATTGGTTTACAAGTCCACCTTTTTAAAATATTTTTTATAGTTGAATAGTTTTTTATAGGTTTTTTTTAATAGTTATTTTTATAGTTTACTCATAAAGTTGCCAAAAACTAAACTAGCTAAAAAGCTAAACTGATAGTTACATTTACATTTTTTAACACGTAATATGGATTTTAAGCTGCTCTTTTTGTAATCGCAACAATGTGGCTCACATTTAAGAATATATAGGCTTTTATTCTTAGTTCTCAAAAGGAAAGAGTCCTTTCAGATGGCAACATACGCAAACACTTAACATAAAACTCTAATTCTGAATTAATTAAAATTCAGAAAACTCTTTTTTGAGAGAATAGGCATGAAGGAGACAGCATCGGGAGGCCAGTCAGCATTCTGACCTGCTCTGGTCCCCTGCTGGCTTCAATGGGACTTGACTCATCTCTGCGAGAGAGGAATGTCATTATACACCCTTCATACCAAAGCCCCCCTTTGCATGTCAGCCAGTGTCACTGCTTTAATGATACTGCAAGAAAATCCACCAGCTGCAATTCAGTGTGAAAAGATCAAGGATGTTCAGGGATAATGGGGGCCTCTTAGGAAAAGGAGGGTGAAACAGATAGAAACCTGGTCAGAAGAGTTTTACTTTTCAAATGTATTGGTTCAATATCAGTAGCAAACCAATCAATTGTATTGTTGCACAGCAATTTTGTGGGATGATTTAGGTCAACTGGAAAAAAAATTGGTGGTTACTTTAAAACAAATTACACTTTTTGAAATGGCTAGTAAATTTCATAAATAATTACAAAGAAATGGCAAGTAAAAAAACGGAAATAGTATTTGGTATTAGTATTAGTTCAGCATTCTTTTAGATATGCTCCAATCATCTATTTTACTGTCAACTTTGAAAAATAATCTTTATCGTGTACACAAAAATAGAAAAAAGTTATAAAAACCATCTAACTTCTATTTAAATCACAGTTTTTGTCACAACTACTTGTGGGCTCCGTCTACCGTGAAATCTCATTGATCCAAAATTCTGCTCAACATAACTGTATATTAAGCACTAAGCACTCATTTTTGATTATTTGCTTGTTAGGACACAGAAAAAGGTTTAGTATGCCACTGTTTTCACTGACTGACACGCATGCACAGAGGTGCCTTATTAAATAAACTGGATTAAGAAGAAGAATGCACAGTTACCCTCATTCAGGGTTCGATGATGAATGGGTATGGACAACACCTGTGCTCTCTGGATCATCCAGACAACCTGAGGTTATCTCTGAAGTCATCCTATCACACACACATTAAATAGTGACAGTGGATGAGACAGAGATGGCTGGTGTGTGTCTGTGAGAGAGAGAAAAGTGGGAGGTACACTATGTGTAATTCTCTCATTAAAAGAAAATCCTTTTAAGTTTTAGTCGAAAATTTTCTACATATTAATTACATTTTTAAACATTGTAATAACAATAAAAGTACATTAGACTGCCCGGTCTGCAATTACCACATTTTGACATTTGGCTAATGTTTGATCAGGCTTCCGAATGGAATTGGAAAAAAAACAAACATTTAGGCTCTGGTGAAAACCAAACTTCTAAGTCCATCTCAGTTCTCTTTAGAAGGGCTTTAGGGAGTTGTGTAATACATCACAACTTTAATCAAAAGTGTCAGGTCACTTACGCAGGGACTGCCGGTGGAGTCAAAGCTCTCTGACAGCTCTGCTAATTGAACAGTGACAGGCAGCAGCGCCCGGAGACAGAGCCACAGAGCCGTAACGTCACAGTAGTTTCCGTACTACAGCACCAGGCCAGCAGTTTCAGGATTGAGGTTTAGCATAGAACTAACGACAACAAGCTATCATACTGTCCTTACATCACTTGGAGACTTGCACAAATAGTAGTACCATAAAAAAAAAACAATCCCCTGCTGGAAAATCAAGCTTAAGCTGGTAGTTGTATTTTGGCATGTGGTATCTGGTTTAGGCTTGTCATTAACCTACTACTAGCTGATGTAACTGGCTTCAGGAAGTCTGGAAGCCAGCTTGGACCAGTTAGAAACCAGCTACTATGTTTCATTCGAATGGCCTTCACATGCTTGCAACTACTGTTGTCCTCTTAAGTTAGCTAGCTACCATTTGAATCTTGTATTTGATTCTGCCCACAAAATATTTTAATAAAACCATTTCTCCCACTGAAATAAACAACAGTTTGGAACTACAGTTATTTTGATTGTTATATCAGACAACGGTCCGGTGGGTGGGCACCTCCCACGAAAAAT